AACCCATGTTTCGTCACCTGTTATAACACGTTTCAGTAATTCTGCATCGTCGTTGACTTCATTTAGTGACTCCTGAGCAACTTCCATTCGCCGCTGTTTTTGTTCAAAATTCAACAATTTTGGAACAAATTTTGCTGCCACGCGTTTTATACCCAAAACATTCGAAAAAATTTCATGGCATGAGCCAATCGATATGCCAACATCATCAGCGACTTCTCTGATTGTGATTCGGCGATCGTTCATAACCATTTCTTTCACTTTTTCCACATTTTCATTGGTTGTTGATGTGCTGGGGCGTCCAGGGCGTTCGTCATCTTCAACGTCTTCACGGCTATCTTGGAAACGCTTATACCTCTCGTAAACTCTTGTTTTACTCATAGCAGAGTCACCATAGGCCTTTGTTAACATTTCACACACTTTGTTACACTTTATTACATTTTTTACGCAAAATTTGATACAAATTCTTTGATCCATTTCTTTTAACAAACGAAAATCGCCGAGCTCAAAAAACACGTCTAACCTTAGCGGCTGCCACAGACAAAGTAAACAATGAATACAGCTGAAAATTTTATCATACTTCAGGGGCATGTATACCAACATAATAAAAAAAAATTTTGACGATCGGACTCTTCAAACCCGCGAAATTTAAAAATTTCCGTTATTTTATGAACACTCCTCGTACATAACTACTTTTCTACATAATCCCCGGGATACGAACACATTTTTTCCAACGGGTAAGCAGTTTTTTAATTCCGCTATCATAAAATGAAAGCAACTGTGACAGCAGCCAATCGCTCACGAAGGATTCGATAGAAGCATCGTTGTCAAATCTTTGTCCTCCAAGTGCTTCTTTCAGTGGTCCAAACAAATGATGATCGCAGGGCAATAAGTCCGGACTGTAGGGAGGGTGTTCCAGTGTAGTCCAGTTCTTCAAATTTTTGACGAGTTAAGGCAGTTGTATGGGGCCGGGCATTATCGTGAAAAATGATAACGTCTCGGATTGGAAATCCGCGTCTTTTCCGACAATATGCGCGTCTTTTCCGACGATAGGCGCGTCTTTTCCGACGATATGCGCGATTTTGCTTCGTCCAAAAGTTGGCAGTGGTATACGGCTTTCACAGTACGACGTTCGTGAAGAAAATCAACGTGCAAAACACTTTTAAAGTCAAAAAATACAGTTGCAAGAACTTTTCCAGCTGAGAGCCGAGTTTTGGCTTTGACGCGTGCAGATTCACTATACTTTTGCCATTCCATACTGGCTTCTTTGGATTCCGTAGTGTAGTGGTGCACTCAAGTTTCGTCGCAAGTCACAATTCGGTGCAAAAAAGCTTCCCTTTTGGTCTGATAACGTGTCAGTAGCCGTTCGCATACCTCCAAAAGGTGCCGTTTCTGATTTTCGGTGACAAGGGACCCATCTGGCGGACACTTTTCGAAACCCAAGGTCGTTAGTAATGATTGCCTGAGCACTGCCGAAGCTTATTCCGACCTCAGAAGCAATTTCAGCGACCGCTAATCGACGGTCACTCTCGATAAGGGTGCCAACCAGGCAAATATTCTCCTCTGTCACTCTGGTCCTTGGGCGACGTCGGTGCCTCTCATTTTCAACAGTTTCTCGTACTTCCAAAAATTGTTTGTGCCACTCGTACATTTGAGTCTTCTTAAGTGTATTGTCCCAGAACTGTGCTTCAAGCCTTCTCAATATGTCCGACGGTTTTACGCCTTCTGCAGTGAGAAATTTAATAATAATTCGTTGTGCAACGGACGAGGGCACCTCCTGCTCTGACATTGTGATACTGATTAACGAAGCGTTAATGAGAGGTTGCGTAGGGGGGAATCTCTTTCATGTATGTCCGCCTATAACGCTCAGAAGCCTGGCCTCTCTCCGTTCGCCTCAGTGCGGGTATAAAAATAATTCCGGTTTATATTTGATTCACCCTCGTATATCTCATAATACTATCTCATGCATTATTGCCGCTATCTACTGGAAACTAACGTTTACTGCACTCCCTTCTGCCAATTCTTCCAATATAGTAGTATAATTAATACACCTTTGCCGATTAAGGCGTTGAAGAGGAATAAACCATAAATGTGGTGCGAAAGTATATGATCAACATTACGCAAAGTTCGCGCTCTTCCACGCATTAGTTAACGAAGGTGAATTAATCGTATCATTAAGTATCTCTAACTTTGATAGAATAGAGAACGCACAACACAATGCTTGTTTTTGGTCATCGATATCGTTATTCGTTGCAGAGACATAAACAATAAGTATAATCAGGGCCAATGAAAATAATCGACATGCCACAACGTTCATGCTCTTCGACGCCTTAATATACGAAGATAATTTAACCATATCATCATAAAGTACTAATTTCAACATAGGGGACACTGATGATTGTAATGCCCGACGTTGATCTTTAACGGTTGCCGAGAAAGAAGGAATAAATTATAATTTAGCTCATACGAATAATGGGAAAACCGCAATGTAAACACGCTTTCACGCATTAATTAACTAAAATATATTATTTGCATCAATATAAACGATTATTTCCAGTAGAACAGTTTGCGAAATTACTAATACTTTTCTAATAATATCGATAACTTTTGCAAGGAAAAGCCCGTAAATATATCATTATATACACGCTCTCCGCACTATAATTCGCGAAAATTTCTTAATCCTCTCGTTATTAATTATTATTTCCAATAGAAAAGTGTACGCACAAATTAATGTAATATGAATAGAGTTTACGAATAAATAAATAAATATAGTTATTTGTAGCTATTTTAAAAATTTCGACTCTTTGTGGCAGTGTATAACTTGGTGGAACTTCGGACTCCAAACGTGAGCGTCGGAGCCTTTCTTATCACATATTACGGTCTCACGCATTATTGCCGCCAAATTACAAGAATTCACAGTACGCATTGTCTCCTCTCAATTCTTCTAATATAACAATACGATAAATGTAACTTTGCTAATTATTGCGCTGAATTGCGTATACCTCGCGGCATTTTGATTAATCGTCGCTTGCGTGACGACAATATATAATATAACAAAATGCATTACATCAAATTTATCAGAACCTGATATAAAACAACTGAATAATTATAGGTGTCATTGTAAAAGTAAACATATGCAATATTATCGTTATTCTATTCCACAAATAGACATTCTAAATATGTCGCGATTATTTAAAATATTATAAGGAGAAGTTGGCGATACTGAACACGGTGAATAAGATAATTTGCAAATCAACACAGATGTGACTAATTTTAAATAAATGACACATGGGAAACAGAATGTTACGTGGATAGTGGCAATAATTCTGGCACACATACAATCTGTGATGCAATATGTCAGAGAAAATCAGCACATATAAGAGAAAAATATTCAAATTAATATATTCCTTAATATATCAGGTTGGTGCAAATGAAATGTCCGTTATCAGTGTTTTGAATTTCCCACCCCTATAGATTACTTTTTTTTTCATACAGAAGACGGTGTATATATACTGTGTGAAAATATATATGATCCACATGTGATTTAGCGCACATAACTTTATTTCTACATTGTACTCTTAGTCATCGAAGTTTGCATTAACACTGTGGTGGAAAATAGAGAAATTTGTATAATTTACTTATACAAGTTCAAACTTGGTCATACTGCAACCGAGGCAACGCGTAACATTCATACTGCATTTGGTAAAGGTACTGTAAGTAAAAGAACGACGAGAAGTTGATTTGAAAAATTTTGTTCTGGGGACACAAACCTCGACAATTTGTCTAGCGGACACGCACCTTCCGTCATTGATGACGTTGTTTTAAAGGAGATGGTTGAAACAGATCCAAGGTTAGCAGTCTGAAAGATTGTCAAAAGATTCGTTGATCATTCAACTGCCGTTCGATATTTAAATAAGTTGGGAAAAGTGAAAAAGTTGGATAAATGGGTCCCCTATAAAATCATAGAGAGTAACAAATTAAGACGTTTGGAGATCTGCATTTCCTTGCGACAGAATACAGATGGAATTTTACACAGGATTGTGATTTGCGATAAGAAATGGATTTTGTACGACAACCACCGACGTTCTGCCCAGTGGCTAGATACGAATGAAGCTCCAAAATACATTCCAAAATCGAATCTTCATCCCAAGAAAATGATGGTGTCTGTACGATGGTCTAGCAAAGCTATCGTTCATTATTTATTAACTAAACAACTGTGAGGTTATTAATTCTGATAAATACTGTCAGGAAATTGCCACTATGTACCAAAAACTGTGCGCTCTACAGCCAGCATTGGTCAACAGACACGGCATGTTGCTGTTGCACAATAACGCTAAACCAAGTGAACGTAAAGCGAACGTTCCTAGAACGTTTACGTGCTGCTTGGGAAAAATATATTTGCTAATATGTTACAAGTACACACAACGACGATGAATATAAATTCAAACTTTGTCGCGTGGTGTATCCAATACAATCTGAAATTCGTAATATTATTTTAAACTTCAACATAAAACTTCAAAATTTGAATAAACCTTTGCATTACTTTCTCTTGTATTTCATCTTGTATAATTTCATCGAATTAAAATAAAATAAATCGCACCTGTTCCATTTGATGACGACTGAATTCCAAAGTACTGAAATACTCCTTGAGCAGGTAAGGCCGCATATCTTTGATAATAATGTCTCAATATTTGGGCTAGAACTTGAAACCATTCATATTAAAATTAAATAGAAGCTGATCACTTTCACTCATGCTTTGCCATATTGCATAGACGTTATTGCTGTTATAGATCCATTCTTTGACCATAAAGTATTCAACGATCTTACAAAAATCGTAAATTCGTTCGTACAATTTCCACATACTGAAACAAGTGAAGCAACGTTTACAAGAGTACTTTTTCATAGACGCGGTAAAGTTTCGTACACCTTTGTCGAATACTTATGCATCTTCCAAAGATATCAATAATTATAGCAGGCAAGGTGGCCGAACAAAATGCATATTGTAAACATAACTTTGTTTTGGATCAGTGTGAGAGTCGACATCCAACAGCAACTTATTTTCGGGTATTTTTGGCAGATTAGTTGCGCGTAAAAGGAAATCCTCGTACATCAAAGGCGCTTCGTTTGTCGATACATAGATGTAAATTAATTTTGTCACCTCTCCTGTAATTAGGAATGATAATGAATGAAATGCAAGAATGAAATGCAAGAACTATTCACAATGAAAAAAATATATAAATATATATATATATATGAAAATCGAACTGTACGACGGTCGAAGAATTTAAAAATAAAAAGAAAATATACTTTGTCTCAGCGCTGAAGCATTGTGAGGGACGAGATTTATATATGAATGTAATCGAAATCAGAATTCATAAGCGAATTTATTCGCTAAAAACGTGTAAAATGCTCGTTGAAATGAAATGTTCTTCGTGCTGGATCATACCTCTGTGGCTGATTGAATACATCCCATTTGCTGGCAATTAAAGCACTTATGATAATGTCGACAGGTATTACACTTGGCTTACAGTCGGAATTGCATATGATAAATTTTAATAGACCTTTGGAAGCAGGTACTATAAATCCCATCGCAGTGGAATAGTTGTCCACCCATCCCATGAGCGATTCGCGAGAGACATTTGTAACTAAAAGGAAGAAAGAATTGGAGGATTTTGCAGAGATTTAAAAATGAGATTCCTTGCACTCAAGGATGGAATGAAAGAATTTCGCAAAATATTAATTGCACACTATTGACATATTAGTATCGCGATTGATGGACTGATAGAATTCCAATCGCTCGAATCGACATATTGTTAATTTTCTGATAACTTTTTCAAGTAGCTGACTGATTTCTCACCTGCAGATGGCCGAAATATTCCGATCAGTATACTCTCACCATTAACTTTAACAACCATTTCCGAAATCGCTTTTGTAAGAAATGGGCAACTGTGAGATAATTCTATGAAAAATCTGTAGTTCAAATTTTTCTTCCAACAAACATATTGCTTTTCTTTCTATATTGTAAAGTATCAAGAACATATACCTTGAGATCGTCTCATTAATTGTACTTTCGGACGATGTTTGTACCAGTGTGATAAGTTCCTCGGGATTAAGATAATTGTAGAATCTCTCTTCGTTATGTTTGACATGACAATTTGAATATACAGTCGATACGTAAATAAATGACTGCAAAGGAAACATTAATAATATGTAATTATATGATAATTAATTACAATAAATTGAATAGTAATAAATTATAATGAATTAGAATAATAAGTTATTGTTCAAAATTCTAAATTGCATGTAAACAGAAAGAGTTAAATTTATCATGCTCATAACATGCAAAGCAAGCATGTTGCGGGAATCGAGTTTCTATTCCGACACGATAAAACGCTGATTGCCAACCAATAACAAAAGAAGATCCGTTACACAAAAACGGGCACTAAACACGTGTTGTGTCTATTATAAGAACACCTAAACATAAGCACCTAAACAATAAGGTTAAAAGACTCATTGATTTAGATGAAAAACATTAACATAATTGGACATTATCTAATGCTTCATTCGATCGAAGGATAACCAATCCGCTCGTTCCGGTTGGCACAAATAACTGTATAAAACTGTATAGAACTGGGTGCCTTGAGCTCGACGAATTAGAAATAAGACTCAGACTTAAGACTTAAGACTTTACTATCAGAACAAGTTCGTTAAGAGAAGTCCAATTTTAGAATTCAGAAGTGAAATGAGCAAATAAAAATTAGAACAAATTCAGAAGTGAAATGAGCACATAGAAATTAGGACAAGTTATTTGATTCTAATTATTCGCGTATCTCCGCTCGCTACGGTTTCGACTACTCTCCGTGTAAGAAATCAAGCCTCACTTTCTCAAGTCATCGCGTTGCGATATATCGTCCGCGTCTTTGCGACTACCTCGCGACTCGTCCGGTCCTCAATTTAATTATTTAATTGTTAATGTCGTGATCGTCAATTTATAATCGTGCTACGTCCGACAATGGTGGTTGCGCACGGCGAGTGAGAAGAATAGGAGACTTTACCATCTTTAAGAGCTGCAAAGACCTCCGTACTTGCGGGAGCCCAGGAGAGCCGTTAACGCGAGCTCTGAACACGTTTGTTCGACAAGCCGAGGACGTATTCTCATGCCGTGAACTGTAAGGGCCAGATCGCCATTTTACCTCAGTGACTGAATAAACTCTTGCCTTAAGTGCACTCGAGTTCCAAACAATTTTCCTGACACCGATCCTTCACTGCATTCCGTGTCCTGCGCTGGGCAGATCCAGCCGGAGCGGTATACTCGAATAATTGAGTGAATTCGCTAACACACAGTTATAATAAATTAATATAATAAATAATAATGAATTATTATAAATTGTAATAATAAATGTATATTCGTCGGTCTAACGAATCTTTCAGTTCGGCATGCGTTTGGCCAAATCCAACACAGCACGTGTGCCGACTACATTCAGTGATGTAGCTGATTTGATGTCGTTATTGAGGCGTATACTCGCCGCCAAATGAAATATTATTGATATCTGTAATGAAATGTAAATGTAATCTTCACAATTTCAAAGATGACGCTTGGGATCAGACTTCAAGGATCAGACTTGGGTGAATCATATCCAGTGAACACCAACCATCAGCAACATCTCATAAATGTTATATATATATATATAATTTATATATATATATAATTTTGTATATATAATTTATATATATATATAATTTTGTTATATATATATATATATATATATATATATAACAAAATTATATATATATATAAATTATATATACAAAATTATATATATATATAAATTATATATATATATATAACATTTATGAGATGTTGCTGATGGTTGGTGTTCACTGGATATGATTCACCCAAGTCTGATCCTTGAAGTCTGATCCCAAGCGTCATCTTTGAAATTGTGAAGATTACATTTACATTTCATTACAGATCATTGTGAAGATTAGTCGAAACCGTAGCGAGCGGAGATACGCGAATTGTGAAGATTACATTATATATATATAATTATATATAATAATTATATATATATAATTTCCTACTTAACAATGTAACTGTTACATAACGCACATTATATTTACATTATTTAGTGAACAATTATAACATTGATGTTACGTAACTGTTTGTTGGTGTTTATTGTGTATATATTTTTTGTACGAAAAATTTTTTTGTTGGAACTTCACGATTAAATTCCTTACCTTGTGTGTTAGTAAATCCGTATCACCTTTCGTGAAACCCAAGTCCACTTCGTACAATCCACCGATCATCGGCACGAATTTTTCACGAAAGTTGGACATCTCCTCCTTCACTCAACCGAATAACTATGGTTCCGTCATACCATCATGTAAAAATAACTTATGACAATGTTGTAAAATATCATATATTATTTATGCTTACCGGACTTTCAAATATCTTGTCTAGCCGAGTCGCGGTGCTTTTGTTCTTTTTCGAACGCACCATTAGATATATCTTAGAGACGTCGGGACAACTTCGCAGCAATTTTTCGATCAAAATCTTCCCAAAGAAACCTGTTCTTCCTGATTTAATACATATTATTATATGTATCGATGATACACAAGTTATGGCTCATCGTATCACATATGATCGCGTTGCATTCAGACGCACTAAATATCTGTAATAAAGATCGACTGGCCCGCATATAACGCTTCTATTGGCGTTTGCCGAATCGTGACGTTACTGTTCCCACAATGAGCTATGTTAGATTTGTTGTAATCGCTGATATCTTTAGCGCAGGTTACATAACACAATAACATGAGAAAGATATAGTTATTGGCGTATTGTTATTGTTAAAAAGAAAAACAAAAAATTTCTACCAGGGTTCGTCTTCAGATATCTTGTAATTAATGAAACAAGCCGTAAGGCATCAGTAGAACAATTTAAAACGATCTTGAAGATAAGATCCGACTACAAATACTATCCTAGGTGATACCTACTGCGAGAATCGATTCCTCTGACGTCACTCGGCAGTAAGTAAGCGATTACTTATGCGGTACATATAGTCACATCGCGTAATGGCGTGCTTCTTTCGACCCGAGATCGAGACAGCGAGTGTTTTTCCACATTTAAACTGCTGTGCGATATCTCCCGGTAAAAATATGAAAGTTCATGTAGGTTATACAGGCCGATCAAAAACACGCGCGCGCAGCATATAACGATATAATAATGCTGCGGGAGCAGCAGTAACGCGCGCACACGATATATATAATGATTTTCGTTTTTTGTGTTTTATATTTTTATTCTCATATTACATATTTTTCTTATTATTGTATATCCTTATTTTATTATCTCATTATATTATAATATTTCGATATAAATTCATACACTAGCAGAGAAATATTCGGTATTTATAACTGGCATAGTGAAAGAAATATAACCAGGATATAACCACTATTTTTCTAGTAAGTGTTATTATAACAACAGTGATAATAACCTTACATGTATATATGTATATTGCTACTATTACTTTTGTGGTTTTCCCATACAGCAGAAGTAGATTCTGAAAATATCCCACGAATAACGTGAAAGTATATCACGTATATTCTTCGAATATTCGACATACATACCGAATATAATAGGAACATACTGAGAATATACGCAATATATTGTAAATATCGTATCCTAAGCTTCTATGTCCTGAATAGAGGAAGATATATATTTGTTTCTTTTTAATAATTTCTTTTTCTCCAACGCTCTTTGTTGCGTTACACGGGACACATACGTCCGTATCCTTGCCACGGATGCAAATAAAGACACATTTCAAGTGACTCGGGCGTAAGCGCGCGCGCTCGCTCGTTCGCTCGCTCGTGCAGCACAACGCGATATAGTTCCACGCATTACGGCCACACTTGCGACCTGGGAGGCCCCGAGGATAATGCGAAAAGAGAACCGGGATATTACCGATCGTCGCGGCGGTGACAATGTCGCCCGCTGGTTTGCGTCACGTTTTAGTCGTTGGAGCGTTAGATTTCTCACTGGAACGCAGATAATAAATAATACGCGATGAGACGCGTTCATTGTTTTCTCCGTGACAGTAACTAACAAGGATAACGATCTCGGATCCTCACGGAATCTGGCCGCTCTTATTCTAACTTTCCGTCGCGATCTCCCACGAGAAGGATTTCCCGAACACGTTTCGTTCCAAGAGTGAGCGAACGGGCGAATACAACTAATGAGTTTATCAAAATGACGTATCGTGCGACCGATCGTTTGTTTAAACAGTCGCGTAGGGGTACTGCAGCTGCATTAATATTCTTTTACATCTTTCCACAATACCGGCGCAAATGTAAATGTCTCGCGCCTCGAATTTCCATTCGACACCCACCACGTGCGCGCCGGCAATGGGTTAAGTAATAAGAACGCTTGCGTTCATTGTGTAAGGATTTTTAATGTAAAATATCTAAGGAGTTTTGAAAGTTTTCTCAGAATGAGCTGAAGGTATGTCGGTCCTAATGACTTCTAGCTGCGAAACGGGAAGAGGAGATAATATTCTGTCAGTTCGTAATAACGCTATATTAACTTCACAATCAAATATCTAAAAGTGTAAGTTTTATAATCCAAAGTCTACAACGAGACTAAACTACCCGTGATGTAGAATACGTGGGACTGCCGTATTAATTTACAAAGCACGCAATAGAAAACAATTTCTCACAAACGCCGTGGCGTAACTAACTAATCGCGCTATTATAATGCAATGAGCCTAATCAAATAAGTCTTTGAGTTAACAAATGCTCGGCATTACCTAACCGACCTTCAATCCGCACTTGACTCATCTCCTCTTACTTTGCTCGCAGGTGACTCACTTCTCCTCGATCTTCTCTGTGAGTCTCTCTAGTTTCTTCCTCGTCTCTTTCTTGTCCTAGTCAAGAGACGTTCGGCAATATATGCGCATGTTAGTAGATGCTCATACCTATCGATATATGCCGAACTAATTATCCGCAGAAGGAGCGCGATTCCTTAAACTTCTTACGCATGGAATACCTTAACCTGTAAATCATACGTTGAATTTATCATCAAGCCTTGTGCAAGCCTAATCGGCCATTTTACTCGGAAGAATATGGAAGTTGTAAAATGCGTAAGTGCCACCAATTGAACTGATATCGATACCGGCTTGTTTAGAAACTCGAGTATCTAGCGCCACCGAAGCGCGAGCGTCCCTGTGGAATCGATGAAGTGTACAATTCGATGGGCAAATTTTTGGATATTTCATGTTGAAATACAATATCGTGCTTCACCTCTTAATGAACAATCTTAAACTATCGCGTCAGTACTCAAGGAAGAGTAATGTCGGAGATCACGAAAGAAACGGAGATGCTTAGGTCGCAGGAATTTCGGCAGAAGTGACTGAATCGACGGTCCTAGACATCGTCGGTGTTAAAAGCAGGTTCACGCGCACTTGGCGTTTTACGCGCGAACTTAGGCAGACAGCGAGATTTGCGTGAGATTGGTATGTATGCGGGACCCAATCGCGTTTTATGCTCGCGCCTTGCGTGGTATATACCTTGTGGTATGTCCGCGTCATGGATTTTCTAAAAATAATATACGCAAATTTCTTTCGTTAGGTCCGAGTTTTGGCAAAAGGGGCGAAGCGCCACCACAAGAGAGAGAGAGAGAGAGAGAGAGAGAGAGAGAGAGAGAGAAAATCGATGCTACGATCCTGAGCGCATCATCCCGCGCGATAGAATTTGCAGCTCGTCGAAATTAACATCGTGATGCAGCACGCATAGGTCATTATTTGGTACGAGCAGCGTGCCTGTGTGCAAGAAAAGAAATGATTATCTTGAGTGATAATTAAACGAACTGTCCCGTCGTCGGTGGAAATCGCAAAAATTGCAAACATGTTGTCGAGCGCCATTAACGCGGAGGATAAACCGCGAAAGATAAAGCACGATTTACTTAAAAAAATTATGACCGTGCGCAATGTTGCGCCGCTATGTACATTTCTCTTTATCACGCGAATTCTTTGCACAAATTTCAAGCAGCAAACGAGCAACAACACGAGGACAACGTTGTATTATTTTGTGTGCAAATTTAAAGTCCAAAAATTTCCCAATGAAAAACTTCCACCAGAGACAAACAAGCGTCAGGCGTTGAGCCAAAATTTAAAGATGCCCTTCCAAGATATATTTTATCGAGGAAAAATATCGACTTCCGATATCACCAGCGGTAGCGTTCGAAGTGAGGAAGGGGAATTGGCATTACGTTGTTCGCATCGTTTATTTATTTTGCAACAGAATATCTCAGAGATTTAGAATAGGTGTTACATATGAATTTCTACACATACTATCTAGATTTTTTTTACGCGAGCATCGGCGTCTCGACGGACACGTGTATCATGCAAAGCCTTCGGGGAACCTACTGCACGGCGAGTCAACGCAACATTGCTTCACGGTGACAAATGTTACCGAGAGATTCTCCAGATCAAAGGACATCTTAAAATGTCTTAAAATCCCCGGTATGAATGGCGCTTTAATTAGGAAGATAATATATTTGTTCAAATAAGTACATTAATTTATTTAAACTTGATTTATTTTTTTTGTTCTATACATATATTGAATATTCATTCTCTACCCAAGCAGCACATAAACGTTCGAGGAACGTTTGCTTAATGCTCACTTGGTTTGGTTATATTCAAACAAAGAAAGAACGTTTGAAAAACATACGTTTTAGCAAATTTCATATATATACCAGGTGTAGAAGTATGAAACCGGAATTTCCCTAAAGATGGTGCTAGCCATCAGTTTAGGGACCGTAAGACCGCTTCTGCAGCGCCATCATCTAACAGCTGACGAAGATTTTCAACACACAACAACCCAAGTTCCATACACCGGTATATTTTTCTATAACCTTAAACATGTCGAGTTTTGTGCCTACGAACTACGATTTGCAGACAGCATTGGTTTTTTGTTATTATTTGAAGAAAACTGCTGCGCATCGAATGCTTGTCGAAGCTTACGGTGAACATGCTCTTGATAAAACACAGTGTTTTGAGTGGTTCAAAAAATTCAAAAATGGTGATTTTGAAGTGAAAAACGAAGAGCGTGGGAAACCATCGAAAAAGTTCGCAGACAACGAATTGCAAGCCTTATTGGATGAAGATGATACTCAAACTCAACAAGAACTCGCGGATGAATTGAATGTGACGCAGAAAGCTGTCTCAATTCGTTTGAAAGCCATGGGAAAGATTCAAAAAGTGGGAAAATGGGTTCCGCATGAACTGAATGAAAGACAGCAAGAAAATCGAAAAACCACTTGTGAAATGCTGCTCGACAGATACAACAGAAAGTCATTTCACCATCGTATCATGACAGGTGATGAAAAATGGATATATTTTAAGAATCCTAAGCGTCAGAAATCATGGGTCAATCCAGGCGAACCATCGACATCCACTGCAATCGCTTTGGAAAGAAGACAATGCTCTGTGTTTGGTGGGATCAGAAGGGTGTAATTATGAGCTGCTAAAACCTGGTGAAACTGTTAACACTGATCGCTACCAATAGCAAATGATCGATTTAAATCGCGTGAAAAACGACCGGAATATAGAAATAGGCAACACAAAATCATTTTGCTCCGTGATAATGCCCCATCACACACAGCAAAACGGGTCAGGGAAACGATAGAGGCGTTCAGTTGGGAAATACTAACGCATGCGGCTTATTCTCCAGACTTGGCTCCGTCCGATTATCATCTATTCGCATCAATGGGACAAGCTCTCGCTGAACAACGTTTTAATTCGTATGAAAATGTACGAAAATGGCTTGATAGCTGGTTCGCTTCAAAAGAAGAAATGTTTTCTTGGCGTGGCATTCATAAACTGCCGGAGAGGTGGGAAAATTATATAAAAAGCAATGGACATTATTTTGAATAAAATATTTTTTATTGTTTTTAAACAACAG